CAGTGTAGTGGCTTCTCCTGTGTCTGCTATTCTTCTATCCTTTAGAGTTCTCTTTTCTTTCGAGTAGCCTATCCCTCATTCCTCTAATCCTCTGTTACAGTCAAATATTAAACTTTCTGCATTCAAATTACTGTGTGGGTTCTCTCTCTTCATGAGACCTAGACTGATACACATACTATTTTCTTGTTCCTACTTCTGTTTTTGCCTTAGATTGACAATCTTTTATTGGCTGAAGCTCTTTCTCTAATTCCTCCGAAAGGGCTTGGGGTTATAGGGTTTCCTAAGTTCTTGCATGCTGAAAATGGTTTCAGTAATAATCTCATTACTTGAAACAGCTTGTCTTGATATAAAATTCTTGTTCTCACTTTTTTCTCTTGAATTTCTTGAAAACATTGTTTCACTTCTTTTCACTTTGTACTTTGCTGTTGAGAAGTATGATGCAAACCTGACTTTTTTACCCCTGTAAATAATTTGGCCTTTTTGCTGGAGGCTTAAGAGGAATTTTTCTTTATTCTTAAAGTGTAATTGTTTTATGAGAATATGTCTTAGAGTTGACCAATCTGAATCAATTTTCTTAGGAATAAGGTAGGTTCTTTCAATATGTAGATTCAAGTCTTTAATGTTTGGAAAATTTTCTTGTATTATAATTTTAAGTATTAATTTTATTCCATTGTTTAGTTTATTTTCTTCAGGGGTTCCAATTATACGTACATACAAACATATATAGATACACACTGGATCTTTGTTGAGTAGGTTCTATATCTATTAGTTCCTTTCTGATACTTTTTGACCTTTTCTAATATTTATTTTTATTTTTTTGGCAATTTTTATTTCTCTTCTCAATGTCCCTTATTATATTTTAGTTGAACCTAATGTCCCATTGGGCACCTGGAATTGAGTCTTCAATTGAAATAATTTTGTCTTTCTTCATTGTTTTTTCTTAAGTTTGGATAATTCTATTTTTTATATCTTCTTGTCTATTGTGCATTTCTAGTTTGGCTTTTAAAATCTATGATTCAAGGTTATTTTTTCATGTCTGTCAATACTTGTTTAATTCAAGTTGGGTTGTCATACAATAGTGTTCCTCTGGTTAGTCATTTATTTTCAGTAGTTAAAATGGTCTTATCCATATCTGTTTTCTGTCATATAGAAACATTTTATGAATGTTGACTGCTGTTTCCTAATCAATTGAAATGTACTGTCTTTTCCTGGACCAGCAAAAACAGGAGGTTCTATTTGGCCGGGGATCTGGAGTCATGAGTATTTCTATTGGCCTAGTGAAAAGCAGTTTCTTTAGTAGATGGGATGGATGGAAAGATCAATATGTCTTTTGATCAATATGTTTTATGATTCTCTTTTGTTCCTATATAAATTACCATCCCTTGATTCCTTCTTTTCCTTTAGGATTAAGTCTCCCTTTCCCCCAAAGGTAGTTATCTTCCCAAGACTGCTATCTCCAGTCCCTTACACTTTCAATTCACAATCTTCCTTCTGATTCACCAGAAGCCAATGCTCTGGACCCATAGGTCTTAGCTCTGTTCTTAGCATTTCCCACTCTGGATGAGACTTTTTCTGGGGATTATGTTAAACCTCTACTGCCCTCTCTCTTTTTTAAGCAGTTCCCACTTACAATTCTTCATTCTGGCATCAATCTGGTACTGACTGTACTAGTTTCGGTTCTTTATAACTGAACATATAGACTAACATGTAATTGAAATCTGTGATATTCTTGACTCCTATTTATGTTTAGGCATGAGTTCTGGGTGTATTGATTTGCTTTCCTTTTTGATCTGTACATTTATGGAGAATTTATGGAAAGATTTTGATTTAAGTGGTCACCATTATCCCTGAGACCTTTTATTTTTAATAGCCTCCCAAGATACTTCTAAACAATTATTCCTAAAGTAGGTTGAGAATAATCCAGTACCATATGACTATAAAAAGAATTGAAGAATATCTCCATACAACTAAGAAGTGATTTCAGGACATATTGTTAAATGAAAAAAGCAAGGTCGAGAAAAGTATGTATAGTATGCTGTCATTTATATAAGAAGGTGGAGGATACATATCTATATATGTACATATCTATACATACCTATATATGTGGACGATACATATCTACATACACACACATGAATACATTTTTTATATTTAAAAAGTTGACTATAAACTATAAAAGAAAGTGGTTACCTATGGCAAAAGAAAGGAATAGAATGAAGAGGATTTCACTGAATATGCTTTGCTGTATGGCTTTGTCTTTAAGAAAAATGTGTATCGTTTATGTATTTATAAAATAAAATTTAAAAAGGCAATCTCTAAAAATCAAAATTAAAATGAAACAAGTGAGTCTAAGTTTATATCAAGTTGGTAGCACTGCTACCCAGGGAGAAACTAATCCAATTGACTTTATAACACATGACTTGATTGTATTTCCCCTGAATAGAAAAAAAAGAAAGGCAAATAACTCAAATACTGTTAGTACTCATAATGATGGTAGTGTTGGCATTGTTATCCTAAGACTGTTGTATGTGTATTGAGGAAAAAGCAAATGAGTTATTTTGTTAGTGACATAGAGAACTAGAGTTTTGTTGTTGTACAACGGAGACACAGATTTATGAGAGCATAAATGAAATAAGTATACCACTGTCCCGAATTTTAGTAGTAAGTATCAAAACGAACTAATAATTTTTTTAATCTTAATAATAAAAAAAAGATGTTCCTACCACTCTATATCAAAAAGACCTAGAAAAAATGACCAACCCACTATCTTTGAGCACTCTATTGCTTAGATTATGGTCTCTAAATACCATTTCCCACCAAAAAGAGCTAAGGCGCCTAAAAGAAATAGCTGATTTCATATTTGTGGCAAGAAATGTACAAGACAAGCAAGGAACACTTTGAAATTCCAAAAATCCAAGAGAGCTATCAAACAATAAAGAGTCAGGAGACAACTTGATGAGGCTCCTATGAGGCCAAAGGTAGGACAATTCAAGAATCAATAAAAACAATTAGTACAATGAACTAAAACACAATGAATATGTATAAATCCTTGAGTTTATGATACTAAACAACAAGAAAACCCTCCTAAATCTTTTTGAAGGATGTCAGTAAAGCAATTCATAATTTTGAGAACTGGTAAATATAGAAAATAATTGAGCATTTAAACCATCTTTCTTGCACAAACTATGCCTAAGGACAACCAAATAGTTGATGAAAATTTATTTTAATAGGTGTATTCCATTTAAGTTATGTGGACAGAATAATAAGATTTAAATTTCTCATTTTTCAAGTATAATAAATTGATGAATCTAAATCAGAGGTTATCAAACTATAGCCAGCAGGCTGGCCACCCATTTTGCCCATTTGTTTGTGTATTGTCTATGGCTGCTTTCATACTACAAAGACAAAGTTGAGTAGCTGCAATAGAGAATCTATGGCCTGTAAGCCTCAAATATTTACTATCAGACCTGTTAAGAAAATCTGTCAACCCTTGATCTAGACCACAAGCAGTAATGACTGCTACATTATAAAAGAAAGAGATAATCAAACTGTACATGTTTCGTAATAGAAGTAAACACCACCATTTATGAATTATTCTGAAAAAAATTGAAACTGAACCTAATCAAGCCTCTAGATCTAGCTACCAATTTCTAGGAAAGAGAGGATAGAGAAACATGTTAAATGATCCCATACATAATCAACAAAATCTAATTGTGGGAAATTTTGAAGACAAATGACTTAGGTTTTTCAATTAATAAACTGCAAAAAAAAAAAAAAAAAATTGAGAAGGAGAACCTAAAGGTTAAAAGAGATTTAAGGGACATATCAACCAATTGCAATATGTGGATCTTATTTGGATCCTGATTCAAAGAAACTGTAATAGAGAGAGAGAGAGAGAGAGAGAGAGAGAGAAACAGAGACACAGAGACACAGAGACACAGAGAAACAAAGAGAGACACATAGGGAAAATTTAAACACTGAGTAAATATTTGTTGATATTTGTAAATATTTGTGTGATACTGTTATAATTGTGTTTTAAAATATTATCTATAAGTGATACATACTAAATATTAATGACAAAATGATACTATGTTTGGGCAATTTGGCAGACAGGGGCAGGCTATAAAGGTACAGATAAAACAAGATTGGCTCTGTGTTAATAATTACCAAAGACAAAGGATACATGGACATTCATTGTGCTATCCTTTCTACTTTTGTATATGTTTGAAATTTTACACTAAAAATAATTTGTTAATGGGGGAAAATGCTAAATAACTTTTCAAAGCATTTTCAAACAGTACATGTCCTGTAATGCTCAATTAATCTAGTACAGCCTCCTGATGGGAACATATCCCATAGCCCATAACTCATCTCTCCCTAGCCTCCACTGAGACTCACTGCAATAATGATTCACAGTAACCGAAGAGATTGGCTAAATCTCTCAGGTATACTGAGGCAAAAAAAAAAAAAAAGTGAACTTAAGGAGAAAAATCTAGTGGAGTTAGTAGTTAAATAGAACAATGCATTTTATTGGATAATTAATTCAAAGGAAGAAAATTCCCAGGACCAAGTAAGAATTTAGGGTAAAGGAGAAAAGGGACCCTTATAAAGGTCATCCTTTTTACTGGAAAAATTTCCCCTCAGTTCTTGTTATCATTGTAGGATTTGACAAAAGCTCTATGGCTTTTTGAGGGAGATTAAATGGCAAGACCTCCTTCCAGTCTGTCTCTCAGGGTAAATGGGAACTGACAAAGAAAGATGAAAGGTGTAGTTTTTTTTTGTTAGAAAAAGGAGAGTCTGAGATGCTTGGCTCTCATAAGTTAATGCAGAGATGAAATTAACCTGATTTTACAGCTCATTTTATTTTGCGTGGGCCTTTTCTTTTGGACCATATGAAAAAGAAGAGACAGGCAGGGGGACTCTAGGTTTTTCCATAATGGGATGGACAACTTTGGGAAGATAACTACTTGACTAAGGAGAGCTTGGGTCTAGTTACTCACCCAGAGGGGGCTGCAGCATACCCCCATTCTTCTCACAGTTCCCAATAGGCTGGATTTCAGCTGAGTCAACCAGCCGCCAGAAGTCATTCTTGTTGTCGCTGCCATCAAGGCGCAGGCGGAGGCGAGCACCTGTCAGTCCAACTACTGTGGCAATACAGGTGGATGTGGTGTTCCTGGGGTCCTGTGCTTCCAATTTCATGCTGATCTTGAACTCGTTGCTTGGAGGTGTGTAGGACTGAGGAGAACAAGCCATGGGGATTAGGCAGACTAAGGTAAATGGCATTTTCAGTAATGGTGTTAAGAGATGGAATCTGAAAATTTATGCTTTAGACTCAAAGTGGTTACAGCTGGGCCAGGGACAACCACCCTGAATTATTCCCTAATACTGAGGAAGGGTTACATGCAAAAGGAACATTGACAGGTAAGATGAAGGGGAAAAAACTACTTTCTACTAAAGCATCAAGTATTGACTCACACATGTTAGAAAAGGACAAGTGTGCCTCAAATGATCCTAACTTAAATGCTTTCTCATCCTATCTTCCTTCCCTAACTCCCTAATCCTCTAGGTGTTTATAACGTTTTCTTTTCAGAAATCACCTTATTTACCTATTATATCTTTAGTGTCTCTTCATGGAGCATTTCAGTATGTTGGTCTGTATATCCACCACACAGACTATTGGGGATTAATTTTTTTCTTATTTTGGCATTATTTTATAAATCAATTCATATTTTTAAAACAATTTTAAGTTATAATTGACATACAATAAACCATACACTTTGGTAAGTCTTGACATATGTATACATCCACGATACCATATACATCACATACACCTTTGAAACCATCACCACAACCAAGATAATGAACATGGACTTGTTTTCTTATGTCCCTTTATAATTCCTCTGTCTGGCCTTCCCAGACTCTTGTCGCTAGGCGGTGATCTACTTTCTCAGCATAACTATCTTGAAAGTCAACCATATTGTTGAATGTATCAATAATTCATTTTTGTTTTTTTTTTAAGGACTTTTTAAGAGCAGGTTTACATTCACAACAAAATTGAGAGGAAGGTACAGAGATTTCCCATATATATCTGCCCCCACATATGTACAGTCTCTTCTATTATCAGCATCCCCCACCACAGTGTTACATTTGTTACAACTGATAAACCTATATTGTACATCATAATCACCTGAAGTCCACAGTTTACATTAGGGTTCTCTTGGTCTTGTACATTCTATGGGTTTGTTCAAATGTATAATGGCACACATCTACCACTATAGTATCATACAAAATAGTTTCACTGCCCTAAAAATCCTCTGTGATCTGCTTATTCATCTGTCCCCCACTCAACCACAGGCAACTCCTAATCTTTTTACTGTCTCCATAATTTTGCCCTTTTAAGAATGTCATATAATTGAAATCATAGAATACGCAGCCTTTTCAAAGTGGCTTCTTTCCCTTAGTAATATGCATTTAAGTTTCCTCCATGTCTTTTCATGACTTGCTAGCTCATTTCTCTTTAGAGCTGAATAGTAATCCTCGGTCTGGTTATAACACAGTTTATTTATCCGTTCACCTACTGAAGGGCATCTTGGTTGCTTCCAAGTTTTGTCAATTATGAATGAAGCTGCAATAAACATCCATGTACAGGTTTTTGTGTGGTCATGAGTTGTCATGTCCTTTGGGTAAACACCAAGGAATGTGATCGCTCCATCACATGGTATGAGTACATTTAGTTTTGTAAGATCACCAATCTGTCTGACAAGACGGTTGCACCATTTTACATTCCCACGAGCGATGAGTGAGAATTATTGCTGCTCCACATCCTCACTAGCATTTGGTATCAGTGTTCTGGATTTTGACCATTCTAATAGGTGTGCAGTATTTCACTGTTTTAATTTGCTTTTCTGTTATCTGCTATCTTTTTTGGTGAGGTGTCTAAAATGATTGGCACATTTTTAATTAAGTTGTTGGCTTTCTTATTGTTTTTAAGTGTTTGTTGCATATTTTGTATAACACTCTATTATCAGATGTCTTTTGTACATATTTCCTCCCAGTCCGTGGCTTCTCCTCTTATTCTCTTGACAGTGTCTTTCACAGAAGTTTTTAATTTTAATGATGTCTAGCTTATCAATTTTCTTTCATGGATCATGCCTTTGGTATTGTATCTAAAAACTCATTATCATACCCAAGGTTACCTTGTTTTTCTCTTATCTTCTAGGAGTTTTATAGTTTTAAGTTTTACCTTTAGAGTTGTGGTCTATTTTGAATTAATTTTTGTGAAAGAAGTAAGGTCTGTATCTAGATTCTTTTTTTTTTGCATGAGGCTGTTCAGTTGTTTCAGCATTATTTGTTGAAAAGACTATCTTTGCTCCACTGTATTGCCTTTGCTCCTTAAAGATCAGTTGACTATATTTATGTAGGACTATTTGGGGGCTCTCTATTCCGTTTCATTGAGCTATCCATCTCTTCTTTTGCCAATATCACACTGTCCTGATTATTGTAGCTTTATAGTAAGTCTTGAATTTGGGTAGTGTCAGTCTTCAAAGTTTGTTCTTCTCTTTCAACATCGTGTTGGCTCTTCTGGGTCTTTTTGCTTCTCCATATAAACTTTAGAATCAGTTTTTCAATATCCACAAAATAACTTGCTGGAATGTGTATTAAGCTTGCACTGAATCTATAGATCAAATTGAGAAGAACTGACATTTTGACAATATTGAGTCTTCCTATTCTTGAACATGGATTATCCCTCTGTGTTTAAGTTCTTCTTCGATTTTATTTAGTTTTGTAGTTTTCCTCAGATAAAATTTATACTTATTTTGTTATATTTATACCTAAGTATTCCATTTTTGGAGGTGCTAATATGAATAGTATTGTTTTTTAAAATTTAAATTCCACTTTTTAATTGCTGGTATACAGAAAAGTGACTGACTTTTGTATATTAACCTTGTGTTTGGCAATCCTGTTATAATTGCTTATTAGTTCCAGGAATTTTGTCAATTCTTTTATATTTTCTACATAGACAATCATGTCATCTGTAAACAAACAGAGTTTTATTCTTTCCTTCCCAATCTGTATATCTTTTATTTCCTTTTCTTATTTTATTACAATAGCTAGGAGTTCCAGTATGATGTTGAAAAGAAATAGTGTGAGAGACATCTTTCCCTTATTCCTGATCTTCGCAGGAAAGCTAGTTTCTCATCATTACATATGATGTTAGCTATAGAGTTTTTAAAAATAGATATTAGTATGATGTTGGCTATAGGTTTTTTACACATATTATTATTCAGCATAACTATTACACTCATCCATATTGTTGAATGTAGCAACAACTCTTTCTTTTTATTGCTGAGTAGTATATCCTAATGATGAACATTTGCTGTTTCCAGTTTTTGACTTCTACAAATAAATCTATGAACATCCATGTATAAATCTTTGTGTGGAAATAGTTTCTATATTTCAATACATATTTTAGAAATATCTAAAAGTGGAATGGATGGGTTGTATGATAAATATATATTTAACTCACATACAAGAAAATTTACTTTTTTACAGTGTATAATTCAATGATTTTTAAGTATATTCACAGACACAAAAATTACTCCATCTATACTGAGAACATTTGCATCATCCCCCTCCCCCCGAAAAACCCCATACCCATTAGCATTTTCTCCCCATTCTTCCCTTAGCCTAGTCCCTAGAAACCATTAATTTACTTTCTGTTTCTATGGATTTGGAGATTTAATACACAGATATTCTAGAGATTTAATATAAAAGGAATTTTCAATATGTGAGTAGCTCCTTCACTTAGCATAATGTTTAAAAAGTTCATCTACAGTGTATATCAGTACTTAATTTTCATTGCTGAATAATATTCCATTATATGCATATACTACGTTTTGCTTATTCATGCATCATTTGATGGACATTTGGGTTGTTTTCTCTTTTTGGCTATTAAGTATAATGATACCTTCAACATCTGTATATAATTTTTTGTGTGGTCATATGTTTTCATTTCTTTCTCTTGGTTACATATCTAGGAGTGAAACTGCTGTGTCATGGTAATTCTACATTTAACATTTTGAGTAACTTTCAAACTGTTTTCTAAAGTGGCTATAGCATTTTACAATTTCACCAGCTACACAGAGGGTTCCAATTTCTCTACATCCTCACCAACCCTTGTTATTGTCTGCCTTTTTGATTTCAGGTAGATGTGAACTGGTATCTTATTACAGTTTTGATTTGTATTTCCCTAAAGACTAATGATGTTAAGCATCTTTTATGTGCTTGTTGGCCATTTGTGTGTATGTGTGTGTGTGTGTGTGTGTGTATTCAAATTCTTTGCCATTTAAAACAGGTTATTTATTTTAACTGTTGAGGTAGTAAAAGTTCTTCATATCTTCTGGATACAAGTTCCTTATCAGATACATAATTTGCAAATATTTTCTCCCATTGTGTGGGTTGTTTCACTTTCTTGATAGTATCTTTGGAAGCACAAAAGATTTTAATTTTGATGAAGTCCAATTTACCTAGTTTTTCTTCTGTTGTTTGTGCTTTTGGTGCCATATTTAAGAAGCCACTTCCTGATCCAAGGTCATGAAGATTTACTCCTATATATTTTTTCTAGGAGTTTCACAGTTTTAGCTCTCATACTTAGGTCTGTCATCCACTTAGAGTTAATTTTTGTATATGGTGTGGAAGAGTTTCATTCTTTTGCATGTAGATAGCCAGTTGTTCCTGTATCAGTTGTTGAAAATCCCACTGAATTATCTTGGCATGTCTGTCGAAAATCAATTGAGCATAAATGTATAAGTGTATTTCTGGACTCACAAATCTAATCCACTGATCTACATGTCTATCTTTATGTCAGTACCACAATGTCTTGACTACTGTAGCTTTGTAGGAAGTTTTGAAATCAGGAAATGTGATAATTGGGTGTTCTGTTGACTTGAATTCCAAGCTCCAGCTCATTCCTTAGATTTGGGAAATTCTCGTCCACTATTTGTCTGAAAATACTTTCTAGTCACTGCTCCTTTTCCTCGCCTTCAGTAATGCCCATTATTCTTATGTTTCCTCTCCTGATGGTATCAGCTAGTTCTTGTATTTCTCTTTCACTATTTTTCATTCTTCAGTTTCTCTCTTCTTCCTTCTGATTTCTTTTTAGATTTCTGTCTTCGATATCACTGATCTTTTCCTCCATGGTCGATTCTATTTCCCAAGCTTGCTATTTCATGTAG